TCTTTCAGATTGATTCCGTAAAAATATTTAGTTTGTGGATAGATTCGGATTCGGTTTGAATTGATTGGTAAACAGAATAAAGCAATAATAGTTGTATGGAATTTCACATTCGCATTATTGTTGGTACTAACTGGGAAAAAATTTCGGACGTGATATTAAAAAACAAAAAAAAAAAAACAAAAAAAAAAAAAACAATCTATCGTAGTCATATTCTATCCGAGATAGAAATTCAACTATATACAGCTGAATTAATTCGTTACAAGAATTTTGTTCGTTCCACCATACACGTGATATGACTTATTGTCTCTGTTACAAATTTAATTTAATAAATTTCAATTTCATACATCGCTAACTGCACTCTAATGAGAAAGACCGTGTTCGTTGTACATATCTAGCTCTGCTCGGATTACCAAAAAAGAAACAAGAAAAAAGGGAAAGATTTCTCTGCTGCACGCAAATAAATAAACAAACAAACAAACAAATAACTCCAGGCGGGATTGAAGGGAAAAAACACGGATAGGGATATGGAAACGAGGGCGTCGATCGGTCATGACCGGTTGCAAAATGCATCAAACGAGCGCAAGCTGTCGTTGCGGCAAAGTAAACGGCGGGGCGGGAAAAAGCTGGTGACGAACGGACCGAAAGAGGACGCGCGAGGACAGCGAAACGACGGAAGGATGATTCGAAATTCCCCCGTGGGCGTTTCGATCGACCGTGTGGCACACGGGCGCGGAATATATATCCCCGCTTCGAGGCGAACTTTTCAATTTCCCCTTGAAAAAGTCCCAGCCGGCTAATGCCCCTAATCAATACACGCGACAAGCCATCCCCGTGTCTACGTTTCCGTTCCGGTGATGCTTGCAAACCACCCTCGGAAGCTCGAAGGGGAGGCTCGGCTCCCGAAGGAATCGAGAAATCGCGGCGCGCCTCAAAGAGCTTCAAATTCGAACTCGATTTCACCGGCGACGAATTTCACAGGCGTAGTAGGGTGCGAGGGAGTTAGGCTGATCGATCTAACTCGAGAGAAGCAACGGAACCGATTAATAGGTGAAAAATTTTGATTCCGTCCGGGGGTGAAGCACGGATCGCGTTCGCAATTCGATTAGGGAGGACGCGACGGCGGGTTGAATTATAGATTCGGTTAGAGAACGATTGGAGGGCGGATAGTTTGTAACTGTGTAATTTATATCGTATAGATGAATTTATTGCGTTTGTAATGTTACGTAGCTGGCTCCGTGCGAACGGTATAAACTGTAAATTTTAATAGAAAGTGTAAATTTTGCTGGATTATTTGATCGTTGACGAGAAGGAGCGCGCGATAGAGTACCTCGATTATTAACACGTTGACTGGAATTTACGAAGCGTTTCGCTTCGTGAAAGGGAATGCTCAATTTTAATTTTAATTTTACAAAGGTATCGTTTATTAACACTAGAACCACCGAAATGGTCAAAATAATTCATAATTAACTATCATAATTAACTAATTCATAATTTTTTTCGATATACTACAGATGCAAAACAGTATATTTTTACAAGTTTAAACGATTCTTTTATAAAATACACGAATAAAAGTTTGTGTACTCTATTGTATTTTTATTTTTTTCACTTTAATATGATGAAAATTCTATGCTTTAGTTCTTGGTAGTTCTAGTGTTAATTACCAACTGGTTTTATACAATAAAAAACAAAATAGCAGCGTCCATCACAAGATCGTCCTACTGTCAACTTTTGTACAAATAGAATTTCACTTGCTTACGAGAGAACAAGATCATCAGTTTGTTACAGCTATTTCTAGTTTAATTAAACATCTGTCAACTGTTGGAATACTTTCGTAAATACAACACTGGAATTTGACACATACAATTCATCTTAATTTCACATACGACGTATTCATCTTACTCGAATCTTAAATATTTTAAAATGTTTACAGAAACAGAATCATCGTCAGGCAGTGTCGTACGTGTTAATATCCCTTTTGATTTTGTTTGCTCGCCGTTGCGCAAACAATTGATATTTTTCTGGGTGAGGCGGCAAAGTGTGTCGAATCGATCCACCGGCCATTAGTCATTGTTGTTCGTCGCGGTGTTTCGCAAAAAGCGATTCAAAAATTGTTGAACGACGCAGCGGAGCTCGAATTGTCGATAAGGTCGGAAAGCAGGATGTCAGGGCGGCACGTTTTGAGGGAGATTGATGAGGGTCCCGCGGTTACCAGCGCCAGTGTGCACAGTTAAACTGTTGCCTCGGCGAAGGTTTCTGCTCTCGGTAGGGGTTGAGGTCAGCGCGATCCACACGCACCCTTCCTGTCGACCTCCCATTTAACAACCGTGTACGTATTTGTTGCACGATGTTTCTTTCGTTCGAATGATCGTCTCTCGTCACCAAACTTTCCCCTATAAACTTCCCTTACCTTTTTAAATCAACGACACTGCGCGTTATTCGTTTTACCTTTGCCGTGAATGAACGCCGCAACGAAATGGTTGTCGTTTATTGCAAGACAATGTGAGAAAATCCGTGTGTACGATTGACTCTCGAGTATAATAGGAAGCTGAGAAGTTGGCAATCGCCCTGGGACAGTACAAGAAGAGTGTACTCGGACTAGAAAAGCACTCGGTTTCCTATGCAATTTAACCTCGAGTAATAGAGACGATTAAATAACAAGACACAGAGACAATTCAACCCCTCGAGTAACAGAGGCACAACTATTGCAGTTGTCGGCCAAAGCATTAAAAAGCCACTCGCAATTTTCAATTTGTATTTGTAGTAAACTTGAAAATCCTCAGTGTAATCTGATAATAATTTTGATTAATGTAAATGTATTAGACATAATAATAATTAATTCGTGCTTCCCCTCTTTACTTGTTGCAGTTACACTTACAATTTCCAATGTCTTTTGTCATTCTTTCTAGCAAAATTTAAAAGTCTAAATAAAAGTTGATAATAATTTTGGTCAATTAGTATTAGTAGTACATGTAGACAAGTACATATCACGTGTAATAAATTTTGGTGATTAGTAATTTTGTGCTTTCCCGCCTTGCTTCAATTACAGCTTAATTTTTGGACGATTCAAATCTATTGTAAATGTTTCATTCGCTTAATCACGTGAAAATTACTCGATTTTCATTCATACGATAAACACTCGATTATACAAATTATTAATACACAAAATTTGATAAAATTATTAATCGATTAACGTATTATTATGTACAAATTAAATTTTGTTTGGATCTCTGAAATTTTTGAAGAACCGAGAGTTATCCCAATTCCTTCGCCAAGAACTGATAACGGAGAAGATTTGCTGATATTTACTAATCATCAAAGATCGTAACAACAACCGTAATGACTTAGAAAATTGACATAGAGAATTTCACAGAGGCGAAAGCTTTGCCAGCGAAAGCTGCGTGAAACGAGGTGATTAAACTTATCGTTCGACATATGCGTACACGCACACCTCTATTGAGAGGAAAGAGCGGGTGTGATTGCGCGAAGGGCAATGCTAGAGTTTTAATCCCGTACTTCGTCTTACTTTGGGTTTTCGGAATCGAAATAAATAAATTCAGCCGAGGCAGACGATCGAACTACCCCCGTGGATACCTGGAAATTACTTGCGCGTCTTTCGACCCTCCCTCCATCGCGAAAAAAAGAAAAAAAAATTGTTTCCAACCGAGCGGAGATCTCGTTAAAAAAGTTGGCGCTACGGGAGGAAAAGTTGGCTGGAGGTTGATCCGGCGGCTGATCTATCATCGCGGGGGCCTCGGAGAATCGGCCGGATAACGGTGATTATTCTTAAATATTAATCTGCCCGCTAATCCGCGTTAGAGTAACGAGGAGTGATTGCGGAAAGACTTTGTAATAAGGGTGTCCTTTGCCAACGGGTTGGGGACACCCAACGGGGTGCGTCCCGATTTTATACGAAAATCGTTAACGTCCGGTAACGTCGTCGGTGTAACTCGATATCGTTTGTTAAAGTAGTTGCCGGAATTAATTTCCTTCGATTTTAATCCCCGTCGGTGCGCGAACGCCGCGTTAAAATAAGAACGCAGCAGAAACAATATTTGTGTTCGATATCGGAGCCGGGGTTAAAATCGTTACGTTCGAGCAGGGTTGAACAAGGCGCGCCCGGAATTTTCGCTCGCACAGTCGCGAGCGCGGATATTTCGTTGGTTAGCTCCAGCGAGTTTCCAAACTGGATAAGGCGAAAATAACTCCATTGACGTGGTCCGTCATGGCGTTTGTAGAGGCATTCTGTAGTGGACAGTGCAAGGTGCAGCGAGGTGTAGTCTAGTTTATAGGACAGATGTTTTTTAACTGTAGAATGGTTCATCTTCGGAACAGAATTTGCCATAAACGTGAGATTTCTCAGAAAAAGAACATGCACTGTTGCCCTAAATTCGTCATCGTAGACCCATATTTTTTTTTAGTAATATATAATATTTTATATATATATATATATATATTATGTAAATATATAATCAAGTAGTTAAACAGTTAATTTAGGTTTACACAGTTGAATAAATTAAGTACACATATGTATATAATTAAGTATACTACTAATATAATACTATTTATTAAATTATATAATAAAACATAAATTATATATTAATATATATTAAAAAAATACTATTATATTTAGTATATATAATAAAGTATACTACCAATATAATACTATTTATTAAATTATATAATAAAACATAAATTATATATTAATATATATTAAAAAATTATATATTTAAAAAATACTATTATATTTAGTATATATAATAAAATATACTACCAATATAATACTATTTATTAAATTATATAATAAAACCTAAATTATATATTAAAAAAATACTATTATATTTAGTATATATAATAAAGTATACTACCAATATAATACTATTTATTAAATTATATAATAAAACATATGAATTATATATTAATATATATTAAAAAAATACTATATAGATATATAATAAAGTGTATGATTATTTATATATAATAAAGAGGCGATGTATACTCACATCTGACGTCGAATCTGACTTCCGTGCTGGACGACATGGTCGGGTTGTCGTATGCAGGATGAATGGCGACGCATCGGATCGGCTGCCCGTAACGCGATCGCTCGGCCATGATCTCGCATACGCTGTAAGTGGCCCAGGTTCGCGGGTTATCTATCTCCGTGGAGTTTACCTGCGGCCTGAGAGTCCTCACTTCCGTCTCGCCCACGTACCTGCGAGCATTCCCCCGCGAAAATTTGCATTTCCAATGGCTGCTCTGTAACAACTCTGCGCGCAGTGAAATCACACTCTCGGCGCGCCGAGCCCGTCTCTTCTCTCGCCGCGACCTTCTTGCATCCTAGCTTTGCTTGCTTGCTTGCTTGCTTGCTTGCTTGCATCGTGTTTTCCCTCTTCTCTTCGACGTTTCGTCTCCCCATCCGCCCCCGTTCGCCTTTAATCTCGCTTTCGAATTTAATTTAATTTCCAAAATAACAATTTCGACTGACGAATTCGCTTTCATTTATGAGAAACTTCGTCAAATTAAATTGAAGTTGACGCGAGTGGTCGTTCGTCTGAGTCGGAATAGCAAATAATCTGAGTAAGAAGTGACATTTCATCACGGAAGTTAAATCACGATTGTTATTTTGACATTGTGATATTAAAACAAAGTAAGCAATGATTTATTTATTCTTGGATGTCTCTAAATTTGTACTTCTCACGCAGTCGACGATATCTATCTACATGATAAACAATCAAGGTTCGAGGAATTGTTTGTAAAAGTACAAGTGCAGAACACGGGACGAAAATAAATTATTATACTTGGCAGTCAAACGACGAAATAATTGTTGGAGAAATCATTTGCTCGTTCAAATAAACTAGGACGTTGTATTATCTAGATGATCATTTTTCAAATAATGCCCAAGGTTATTCTCATTTGTTCTCACTCAATATCCGAGGAATTATACTGAAGAAATAAAATAAATTATTGTACTCGATAGTTAAACGATGAAATAATTACGAGAGGAATCATTTGCTTGTTCAAATAATAGCGATATAACAAATAAACTAGCGGCATAATTCCGAGACGATATTGAATCAAATAACACGACGTACATACTTGAATGATCATTTTTGAAATATTTTATTCGAATAACGCCCAAGGCTATTCCCACTCTCTCTCACTTCTTTATGAAACCAAAGATTGAAACATAATCACCACCGAGCTTGCCACGCCATTCTGGAATCTCCGAGTATCTCAAGTTCTAACGGCGAGATCTCATTGTTCTCCGCGAACTGTATCCTCGCGCGGTGGGTCGAGGAGGATAGTGATTTTCCAGCTGCGTGTATTTCGAGCGTCGCCGCGTCGCGAGAAAAGATCGAAAGAGGGTGAACACGAGCGAGAGGCGGCTCGATCGATCGCCATAACTTTTCCTTCGACGCGGCAATTTAGACGCGTCGTTGTAAAACGGTTGGATCTACTTAGTCCGGATTATTTATCGCGTTGATAGGACGCGGCGCACGCCGCAGTTACTCCAATAAATAACTGCGCCGACACGTGGATGCCTGGCCGTGCATAGGAAACGGATTTTCTACAAATCAAAGAGCTAAAGAAAAACGCGATGAACTACTTGAAAACCACGATAGCCACGGCGAAGAACATTTTATGTGAAGAGGAAGTCGGAAGGAAAGAATAAAGTTCTTTTCGTTTAATCTCTGCAAGATTCTTAACAGAAGTCTTGATCGGGAAAATTTTGTTCTACGTACTTCGTTCATGACGGAGAGCACAATTGCACCGATAACAATGAAAAATTGTCGATGATTTAAACTTCGTAAAAAGAAGACCATTTAGTGGTCCATTTGGCTTCATTTCAAAGCGAGTTTGCTTTTTTTTTTTTTCAAAAATGAGGATACTTTTTCTCGTGATCACATCCACTGTTACTTATCTTGAAGATTTTTTTTTTTTTTTAATCATTTTATTCAACATCAGTGTTGCATAATGAAACTTTAGGATTTTTTTAGAATTTTGACCTCGATATTCAACAGTTAATAAAATGATGAAAGAAAAATCGTATTACAGCAAGTTTGAAAGATCGTTGAAAACGATTTACTCGCGAGAAAATTTTTCAACGTTTTTACACGCGTTTGAAGTTTGACAATTTCCGAGAAAATAATATCCTCGCTTTTCCACCTGTTACATGATGTAACGTCACCTTTGAAAAAAAAAAAAAAAAAAAAAGCGAACTTACGATTGTCAGGGGCTTCACGCTTGAAACGAGTCCTTTTGACTACGGAAATATCAATAAACGTCCAAGGAAAATTTGCGTAAGACATCGATGAACGATTTCAACGTTTTACTCATTCTATATATACATAAGTGTATACATACACATATTTATACTTGAAAGTACGTGTCCATAATTAAATTAATGTTTCTTCTACTGTCAGATAATTATTATCATCCTAAATAAAGTTAATTAATTTATTTAACGTGGTCACAAACACGATTTCTCAAGACACAGTTCAAAAGTAGAGATACGCGATCGGCATACGTGTATTTTCAAACTCGAGTCCCTGGAAAACAAAGTCTCTGAACAAATAGATATTATCCGATCTTTTTGACTTATTTTTCCGTCGACGCCACGATCATCCGATGCCTGTCTAGCGGCCGTTGCACCGCGTTTGTTCGAAATTTCCACGCCACGGAAATTTCGAAGAGCCCCCCCCCCGTCTGTCGCAAATCGAGCGAGACGAAAGAGATCGTAAAAGGTCAAGCAAGGAAATTGAAACGGAGTGTAGCTCGGGCCGGAAGGATCCGAGTAATAACATTGGTTTCCAAGGGGTGGGTGTGGGAGGAGGAGAAGAAGCTTTGAATGCTTTTAGATTGCAGCCGTTTTCTACGCGAGCAGCGTGCTCGCGTTCAATCATCGCCGAGCAACGCTGCTCCTTTTCGCAGCGATTGATTCGATTAGTTGGCGCCGGAGCTCTCTCTCTCTCCCCCAGTTGATTTCGCCTCGCGCGGACTTTGGACAACTTAATTCCAGCCCGTGTCTTTCACGCGCGTTGCGCACCGTGTCTGGCGAGGGAAGGAAGTGAACGTCGTTTCTCGGTAATCGAACGATTACCACTGTAATTGCTGCGAGTTTGCCAGGTTCAGCTCGAGCCGAGCGTAGATAGACAGATGGGATCGAGCGCGTCGCCTTCAATTGTTGGATTCGAGTATACCTCTACTACTTGTCGAAAATGAAAACAATATTTTTCAAGCGGACTCGAACGGGATCGAGCACCTATCGAATATCTAGTCGTTGGTTTCGAGATCTTTCTGAGTGATGGTTTCGGCATTATTTGGATTAAATAATATACTTTCTTGTTTCACTCGATTTTATCTGGTCAAGCGGGTGATCCTTTTTCTAAATTGTTTGATCATTTGGCTATCAGATGATACATATTCTTCTATTCTGTATTTGTTTTGACAAACGATTTTGTCAAATTAAGTTTCATCCTCTATTGGGTAGAAGAATATATTTCTCTTACTTGACTCGAGTTTATCTTGGAATAATCTTAGTTTATTTTATATTAAGATTAGGTTTTCCCCCTATGGGCTCGGGGGATAGAATAGGCCCATCGTAATCCCTGCGTGTCGTAAAAGGCGACTAAAAGGGATGAATAATCTTTCAGAAGATGGAAGATTCAGATGAAAGGAAGACACCTACTGATGCAGAGGGTGTCGGAGGTTAGCAAGTGGTTCTTCTTTAAACTGTTTGACTATTCGACTATCAATTCTGATTTTGTATTTTGTATTTGTTTCTACAAATAATTTTGTCAAACATCGGATAGAAGGATAACATGTGTTCTTATTTGACTCGATTTTATCTTGAAATAATCTGACGTTAGTTTATATATTGACCAAGCATATGATTCTTCTCGAAATTATTCGATTTTATTTGTCTATCAAATAAAATAACTTTTCATTCCGTTGTACGAATAACTTCCCAAAATAGTTTCACCATTTCACCATGTGTTATTCGTTACTTCATTTCAGCGAGTTGAATCGAATAAAAGCTCAGTTGAAAATGATTCATTTACTTATCGAAGAAAATAAAAAGTCAATGAAAACTTTTTCTCACTCACTATTTTCAATTTATTGTTGTTATTTGTCTTCACTCGGAGCACAAATATCCTGGTAATTACTCTAGAGCTCAGAACCAGACTGTATAACACCTCGCTTTGCAAAATTATTCGTGTTTACTGTATACATTTTATAAAATTCAACGTGACATGATACAATTTATATTAAATATTAATATATATATATTAAATATACTGCACTCGTTGAAACTCGGGAACGAAACTCATTGTCAGATCTAATCCACCTCTAGTACTAGTAAATACACGCATTGAACTTGATCCCTCCCCCCTCCCCCTGTCTCTGAGTAGTAAATACCTGCTTACGTATGCAGTGCCAGCGAAACTGAAACTACGATGAGGAAACCGAAGCTACGGAGAGAGATCGAATCGAATTTTTCAATTGAATTCGCCGGCGTGTCCCGATGAAGTCACTTTGCCAATCGCGAGAAGAAACGGTCCTCCTCGCGGAGCTATTATTTCAATGGGAGGAAGAGGAGCCCGGGAGCCCTCGTCGTGTTTCGCACGGGTATATGCACAGGTCTCATTTGCTCGAGGAGCTGGTTAGTTTCCTCCCCTCCTTCTCCCAGCGCGCGAGCATCCCTCTCGTAATGCACCCGGTGGATCTTGCCGATGGTGGCAGGGCACGGTTGGTTGCCCATGAATAATCATGATCCATTCCGACCGGTATCTAGACGAAGTTAAGAGGCTACCGGGGTTTGCTTGCACCCCAGGGGCGCGGGAACAACGGGAAAGCAGGCGACTGAACGAAACCAACAGGCCGACGGTGGTTCCCCCCGCGTAGAACGCGCGTTAGTTCGCGCGAGTAGCGTTGATTAACTTGTCGAGGAATTAAGGCCGGCGAATCTACGATCGCGGCAATCCCGCCACGTTTTGTCCCTGTCGTTCAGGCCAATGACGCGACGAGCATCTCCCTTCCTCTCCACCAGAGTGGAATTACAGTCCGATTGACTGCATAGTTTTGCGTGCAACGAGAGTGGAAACGTGAATGTACGCCTCGCGGGAGTTTTGCGAAATTTGCCCGATATTTTCTAGGAATTTTCTGTCGCGGTCGGAATAAACTCCGGCCGTTTGCTTCCCGAGTCAAATTTTAATTAATTTTACATGATTTTATCAGAGGGTATTACCGGTAGAACTTGATTCACAATTATTTGTATTATTATTGTATAATTCGTTATTAAAAAATTGCTACTGCATTCCACTGTTCGTGGAAAAATGTATCATTTGTTTTCATAGGATTTTTTTTTTTTTTTTTTTTTTTTTATAAGAATATTAGGTGTTTGTTAATTCACTGTATTTATAATTCACACAAAGTTTATATAATATTCTACTTTATGTTAAGATCTGGAAATCGCAATAGAACATAATCGGTACGTTTCGAATCTTAAATCTTGTCAAAATTGAATTTTCGTGACAACTAAACTCGATTTCAAGCTACCTAAATATTCGGACTCTTTAACAATTGTCCAGTTTCAAATTTTAATGTCATCTCCATCGTGTCTGACGATACTTGCGTGATGCGTTGCATTTAGTTTGAGTTTATGTGTTTCTCCAAACATGTACTACCATGTCACTACCTCTCTTAGTAACGTTACGCGAACGTCATTTTTGTTCGCTTTCGACTCTCGCTGCAGGTGCCAGGAGTATGCGACACGCATAAGCGACTCGATCGTTCGCAGGAGTGCATTCACAACGTCTGCACTCTGCAATTTCTCCAATGAATAGCTACTGCCACGTAACCGGATTCGTATAATAAATTCGCGAAAGGAACTGCGAGCTTATAATTTCAAAGAGCTTGCAATTTACGATTGTTCTTCCCATTCCCTTTCCTTTTCTTTCTTTTCTGGATTATTGGTTAACCACGGCCGATCAAAACGACGAAACGAATCGTCGTCGGGCGCTTTGTTCGCTGTAGAGAAAAACGACTTTGAAACGCGATCGGGAGTGCCGCGTTTATAATCCCCGCGTCGTGTTTGCGCGAAAACAGTAATTTATAAGGGGAGAAGTGTCATTCTCTCCGCGAGGAGTATTAAAATGCTTTTACAAGGAGGGAAGGGAAAGAAAAATGGCTCGACCAGGTCAAAGAGATGATACGCGAACGAACCGACGTGGAATCGGTGCTTTTTAACCCCGTGGGAAGAATTGATCATGCTCGTTCTTGCTCTTTTACATGCAAATCCGATGACTCGCCATGTTACACGTACACCATCATCTATAAGTATTCGGACAGGACGAAATTCATATAAAATGTATAATACTTCGAATGGGACTGTTTAATCTGATTCCAATCTGTGGCAGAATACAAACGTATTACATTTTACAGGTTGTTCCACTTAACTTGAGTATCTTAGATATTTTTGCTGATACGAAAAGAAACTTTGTTATTGTCTTAACCGAAGTTGTTCAACACTGGGAGGGCATAATATGGTGGTAATTAATTTTTTTTGTTGGAGAAGGAGCTTCGAAGATTTCGAGATTATCTCCATTTATATTTTTTTAAAAATGAAATTGTATCTGTATAAATATTTTGATCCGTAGGAAGAATATTAACTTACATATATCGACAGAAATTATTAATTTAGATTAGAGTATTTCATTAGATTTTAGTTTTGCAAAATTTATCGAGGAAGGAGAGAAATGGCATTTAGGTCAAAATGTCTACTAAATTATTCTACTTACTTCTTTGTAGAAAATGTCAAGTTGCATTGATTAATGGATCGAAAAATATATATTTTTGGGTGATCTCGATATCTTCGGAACCCTTTTGTCTACAAAATTTATTACGTTATTCCCTTTGTACTGACTAACATTTTGAAAATATTTAAAATGCTCATTCTTTTCGTCTATCAATCTTTTGATAATTTTAAAATTTCAACAACGACAGCGCGATTTACAATCACACTGCTGAATACATGTCAAGATCAAATTAAAGAGATTCTTCACTTGAACCGTATGTCGTATCACAACGATCTGTTATATCACACGTGTATATTTTTGATCGAACCGTGTTCCAATTTCAATCAGACCGAGACAAAGAGTGAATCCAGTGGGGGGAAAAAGGTCGCGACCTGAGGAAGGGGCTGGCGCGGCAGACGGTAAGCTACGGTGCAACAATTACGAACCATTTAATTAGAGGCGAAGGATTCCCATACCGCGCTCTGCAAGTGAGCGTAGCGATCTCACCTGCTCGGGCTGTCACGTTGCTGCCTGGTAGAATTAGACGATCCGCGTACTCTATCTGCGGTCGTTGAGGGCTGACTGGAATGAGAAAATTAGCAGAGGTTAATTTGGCCGTCGCGCGGCTGGGATATTCGGGGAGCACGCGTCCTGACGTCCCTCCGGACGTCGCTCGTTATCGTCGCGTTATCATTTAATCGCCTCGTCGTTGATTACCTTTTGTCAGGTGGTATATCTCGATCGACTCGCCGCGATCCCGCGACAACTCGCTTATCATACGATTTAACGAACTTCGCTTTCGCGGAGGCACACGGTGGCACTTGATTTTGGAAATTACTCGAACCGAACTTCTCTCAACAGAGACTGTTTCCATGATCACGAGGATAAGTGGCAAGATAGAGATGAACGAACGAGAAACGAACGCGAATTTTGGAGATGCTGCTTCTGACATTTTCCTGTTTGTAATGGAATCAGAAAAAAAAAAATTATTAATAATAATTAAAAACATATTTAAAGATTTTTTTCTTAAGAGAATTTATTGTGACGTACAGCAGATAAAACAAATTTCTATTTAGGCTTTGATTATATTCGTGAAAATGATCATTAACAAGTCATTTTATGCATCTTGCGAACTTGATTTTTCTCACGACACTTTGGCATTTCTTTCTCTGAATGTGCCTAATCGATATTGCGATTTTTCCATGCATTATCTCTATGGTATCGGACGCGACCGAAAACTCGTTAAATAAATAAATAATACGTTGAAGAATGCAAAAAAAGTCTGCAGCCACTATGCGAAATGATTTACTATACAGACGGTTGACGCATGCATCGCTATTTTTATACATCAGTAACAACGCTTCAAGCACAGCCATTTATATATTTATTTATTTTATTTTGCTTATTTATTTATTTATCTTATTTACTTATTTAATTCAATCTATTTATTTACTTCATTATATCCACTTATCTTATTTACTGATTGAATTGAATTAATTAATTAATTTCATTACATTTATTTATTTTACTTATTTATTTGTCTCATTTACTTATTTACTTATTTTATTTTATTATGTACCTATTTTCACAACGTCTCAAGAGCCTCCGCTCCGCAACTCACTGCGACATACAGACCGTAATTTGTAATTTGTCCGTCGTGATCTATGAATCGAACAGTAACATTCATCTCAATCAATGCCGCATCGTCGATCGTCGAACACGTCGCGGTGCCCGATTTCTTTTACAAAGAACGCGACGTAACGTTTGACGCGATCCGTCGGTAGAATTTTCCCCGCGACGACCCAGTTCCGTAACTTCACCCTCGATTCGGCATTGTCTTCTGCCGCTGATACGGCTGATACCTGGGGCGAGTAACGCGTTAATTTCGTCACAATGGAAATAACGACAATGAAACGCGACGAACGCGGGGGCTTTGATGACCACGCCGCGCTCCGGTTTGTAGCCGCGCGGCACAATACACCGGAACGTGACAGAGAAATGGCCCCTGCGTGGAAAATAGGAAGCCTGTTAGTCCGCATGAGGTGTTTAACGCGGTGATTAGCATTAGCGGTCGCTTTCATCGAATCGGATCGGGATTGTTGGCGCGCTGTTGTTGAGTTTCTAAGATATTTACCTCTGACGACCAGCCTCGCCGGCTCGGATGCCAACGCGTCCTGCGTGGTGAAATCGCTGGCTGTCACTTGACATTGCCAGAGGCCGTCGTCGAACTCCAATGCGGCGGACCTGACCCAGAGGGAACAATCGCCGATGTCTGGCCGCCCCACCCACTCGTATTTCTTCAAGTGCATGCCGATCGGCTGAAACAATTTAGATTCCATCTTTAGGTCGTTTAAATCGTTGCTGCTGCCGCTGCTCTCGATTCAATCATCTTTCGAAGCCGAGGAGGAGGCTGTAGATCAGCAGGAACGGGATCGAGTCGCGTTTGAATACGCTTCGTGCAATCTGTAATTTGAATTCTGGACATTCAAAAATGAAAAAATAGAAAGTAAGATGTATTCGGCGCAACGAATGTTTTAATTTTATTTCAAAATGTAGCTTCATCTTCAAGAATGAGAATGAGAATGAGAATCGTCCGTCTGCAGCATTCGGGAATTCTCTGAAAGTGAAAGATATACATGGTCGATAGTTGCAGTGTATATTGAAAAAAGAATTTAAAAAGAACTGCTCGACAGCGGATACGTTAAATCGACAAATCAAAGGGAATGAAAATCGTATGCTGCGATAATTGAAAAACGAAAATAAAATCCCCGTTACGCTGAGAATTTCTGAATCGAAAGTTCACCATTCGATCTCGAAGTGATTCAATTTTATTTACGAGCCGCTCGATCCCATCTCTACCCATCGATACTCGAGTCTATTTGGCGTGTCGTTTTCATTTCCGGAAGTGCTCGTGAAACACTACGAGCCCTTGCCTACTACCATTCTGAATACTTATAAATAATACAATAAACCAACGACTATTTACGTAGGAGGCAGTCGACCCGATCTGCCCGGGTAACCGGCTCTCCTCTCGTGCACGTCTGAAATACAATAGTTCCTAGCCGTTCTTCAGATTCCGCTCGAAGACGAGTCGTTAGCGTTAGCGGGTTGGAATCGGTACGCGGGCAAGGCGAATGGAAAACGAATCGAGGGTAAAGCGAGCCGCGTAAATCGAGGGCCGAGTGGCACCAACAGACCTCCCCCTTCCTCTTCCACCCCGTAGGTAGACAATGGCCGGCGTATGTCAGCGTTTTGCCTCGATCGTTTAATCGACGGACGAAAAGGGACTTGGATCGTTCCTCGTTACCGGAATCCTCTCAAGCCCTGCGCCACCGAGAGGTTTTCACCTCTTCTCTCTCCCGGCCACCCTCTCTCTCTCTCTCTCTCTCTCTCTCTCGTTTCACCTCCGTCGTTTCTCTAAGCGGCGTTCCATCCGAAATGAATCATCGGCTTCCGGCTACGGGAGGCTCTTCCCTTCTTTCGCGCAGATTAATTCCTAGCTGCTCGGCTAGGAAAATGCGGCCTTAGCAAGTTTCGCAGTCATAATGTGCCCGTAATTCAAGGATCGATTCTCCGCGGCGGGGTAGCCTCGACCAAGGGGTGGAAGAGGTGGGTGTATGCTGCACCATATAATCTATCTGGTCGGTTTTGCTCGCTCGCGGGTCGCTGTTCCACGTTTTAAAGGGCCGTTTTCACTGCTCCGCTGGCGGTGTGCGGCTCACGGCCAGGCCACAGTCACTCACCGATCCTCGTACGTACCGTTATCTCTCTGTGTACCTCGGCGAAACTGGATCACGCCGCGCCGTCGGTCCAATCCTCCCCAGTGTTGCCCAGAAAAATCTCGTCGTTCGTCATTTAAGGCCATTAGCTGGTTAACGAGTTTTCGTAATCCCACCCGCCCGGGACCAGCCCTGCATGCCTCTCCGCCTCACCATGGAAATCCTTCTTGAGTTAACGCCAGCTTTCTCTCCTCCGGGGAATTGCAACTTTTCTCTTTTTTCCTCTTTCTTTCTCCTCTCGCGTCTCTGGCTTCGATGTAAGTAATTTTCAACGATATCGTTCTCTCTCTCTTTCTTTTTCACGCTCGGTCGCGTGGCGCCCCTCTCTCTCTCTCTCTCTTTCTCTTTTTTTTTAGATTTCAACCGACGCTCGTAACAATGTTAATCGTCGAGGGGAAACGTAGAAACTCTCGTTCTTTTTTTTTTTTTTCCTGTTTTCTGAACCGAGCAACTTCCTCGGCGACTCGACTCGTAATCACCGGGGCAACTCGGTTCCCCCTTGTTCGTAGTTCTAGAATAGATCGAAACCGACTTCCGAGTAACCGCGGATGTTCCACGCTACAAAATCAATTACGAAATCGACACTTCGTTAAGGGGGCAGGGCAGTTTGACGGTGCTAAAAATTACGAATACTTTGGAGGGCTAGTAAAAAAAAGAGTATTATATATTTGATTGACATGAGCTTTTGTGGTTTATTTGAACGCATTATGAACTATAAAAAGCAACATTAAAAAAGAGAAAAAGAGCGCTCTCGTTTAACTTTTTAACGGCATCTTTTTACATAACTTTTTTTTACATTTTGCCTATCGGTGTGCATGATTCCAGCCAAGCAGGAAGTTAGTTGCAACAAAAAGGCAAAAAACGTTCGAAAGTAAACAATATTCCCTAGGGATTGATTGATCCAACATTTTCATTTTTGTAGAAATTATGAAAATAGCAGCTGTTTGTTTTTGATGTATTGAATCTATGCCAGAAATTTCTATGTTTTTTGTTTATGCTTTTCGAAAGTATTAAAAATTGAAAAAATGTTCGATCGTCAATCCCTAGTAAATGTTACACTAAAGATACCAAGTTTTCACAGTAATCGGTTGATTAGATTCCGAGATATCTTGCACACCGTTTTTAAAAACTTAGTTTCGAGAAAAAAAAACTCGTTTAAGGTTTCAGAACGTTTTACTTATGTATCGCGGCTCACAGTTTTTACAATTCGCAACTAAATTGAATCCAAGTCCCCTAATATTTAATTCACCAAAAGTAATATTCGAATCGCACGATATATAATACCGCTTAAAGTTGTCAACAGTGATGCAAATTCAATTATTCTGTAATCCGCGGATTTATTATTATACCCCAGAACAAGTCGTTTTGTGTCTTATTTCTAAGACTTCAAACTACTATCTAAAACAAAAAAAAAAAGAAGAAGAATCGATTTTTTAAAAATTTCAAACTGTCCTGACCCCTTAATCAAGTCGAAATTTTTCGTTGAGCCGCGTGGGATTGCGTGCCTTATATTAGTAATGAATACGACGCAGGCTCGCCGGGGAAGCGCGCAGTTTATCATTCAACGGCAGACACAGTAATACAATGGCGGATTCCTCTCGCGATGATTGTTTGCGCGCGTAGATGAAGGCAGAGTGGAGTACGCGCCCCCAGGACAAGAAGAATAATGAGTTGCCGGCGCGTTGACGTTTACCGTCGCGAGACGGAGCGACGCGTACGCAATTACACGGATATTAGCGTCTTACCGCGGTGGCGTGTTCGTTCCTTCCTTCGTTTTTGTCGCCCGAGAGGACGAAATCGTTTAAGGTTAAACGCTTCGGCGCACGAACCGTCGACCGGTATCGACTAAAAGCCACTTGCGTGCACGCGTTTGCTCAAGTTTTACCAGCGCTTACGTATCGATCTGCAATTTGCGCGAGTAGATCCTGATGCTTCGCTCTGATTTGATCTCTTAACGCTTCGATGCTTTTAAATATTTGTTACGAGACGATGATCGTGAGAGTACTTCCAAGTTGCGTGGAAGATATTTGAAATAAGAAAATCTGAACAAACGTGAGCTGTTGTGGCGAGAGTCGTCGTTTTATTTTCTGATACGCCAGAACGTACGGATTGACGTAGTCAGGTATTCGTACACTCCATAAAAAAAATCCTTAAAACCTCTCGCGAAGAAAAAGAAAAAAAGAAAAAGAAGAAGAGAAAGATCGTGCTACAAATTTTCAAGAGAAGAACTCGCTGGAAGAACTCAAACAACGTGACAAGACTGACGAATCCCAGAAGCCGTAAAAACTAGTCAAACCGACTTGTATCCCTCCTCCTTCGTGAAGCTGTCGTGGCAAAGTCCCAGCGACAAGAAATACGCGTCCCGGCCTCGCGTTCGGAACGTCGATCGGACGGAGCTAAGTCACCGCCACTGTCATTCATTTAAAGGATTAAAATCCGCGCGACGCACGGCCGGCGTTCACTTACTTAACCGAGAAGGGCCCTCTTGCTCCCCTTTTTCTTGTCCCACGGTCGGTTCACGGCCCGGCCTCTGTCTTCGTTGCGCACGGCCACGGCCGCCTGCCACCTTTCCACCTTTTCGTTACTCCACGGCCTTCTCGTGACTCTATGTTCTCTCCGGAGAGGCCGCGACCAGCAATCAGCGTAATGCACCCGCAGACACGCTCCACCCGCACCTCCCTGCCTCCATCCTCGCTCGCTCCACACAATCGCACGACTTCCACACACACACACACACACACACATCGACGAGTCACAGATACAGACAGAGAGAGACACAGTGCACACGTTCACGTACGAATCCACACGCGAGGAGGAGCGTACAAACGGCCAGGGTACATACCCCCTGGGCCAAAGGCCTTGATAACACGAGCGAGAGCTTGAGTAATGCAGACGCAATGGCAATCTCTTCGAGAGCAACGAAATAGATCGCAGGACCGTGGATCGATGCCTGCGCGGAACCCCTTTCCCGGTTCCCCGCAAGAACCTCCTCTCTCTCTCTCTCTTTTTATCTTCCTTTATTTCTTTCTTCCGTGCAACTTCCAACAGTCGGGACGGGATCGAGCCGGGTTTCGCTCTTTTTCGGCGAAAAAGTTGTTAACTCGGAGATTCATTGCCCGAGACTCTTTGCCGGGTGGTGCACGAGTAGTTGCCGAGAGTCCGAGGCTGACGCGCGATGGAGGGATGAAAGGGTAAGGGTTGGTTCACGGGCGAGCAGAGCCACAGGGCCAGGCTTGAACGAGCGTGAAAGACGGCGGCGGAGCGTTCCTCCTTGTCGGAATGCTCTTGCAGGAGGTAAAAGGGTGGCTGCTGCGAAGACGCGAGGAGTGGTGGCGGCGCGCCAGTTGGGGGGTTGGAGCACGCTTTCGGAAAGGAGCTTTCTGGTAATCCAGTGAAGACGATTCCCGTACGCCTATTTCGCTAAAGTGATTTCGTGCCTTCGAAGGATTCGACGTTTCCACGCCGCGTGAAACTTGCCAGTTGTTCTCTTGCCGGTTTTATCGGTCTCCGGTGGTAGAGTGGGGGAAGTGCATCTCGCA